TCCCGATTTGGGAAATATTTTTGTTGCCGAAGCATGTTCAACAAATATTGCACATCATTAGAAATGAAAAATATTAGAATAATAAACAATCATAAACATCTAAAAATAGCATACAAAACGAACCAAAAGAGTGAAAATATATAAGAGTTGACCGTGAAGAAAACATATCTAAACTATCTGATGAATAAAACTCCTATTGAAAGGCTGAATTACAGCTAACACAATTTAAATGTGGGATAATATTTACATTTAGTGTGCAATAATGGGTGCTAGTGGAGTGCACGCGTCTCAAACAAGCCTAGTTTGTTTACAAAATTGCGGCGCAACTTGGTGGGCAGTACCCTGGAAAGAAATCTCTGCGTGAGAAATACAAGGTGTGGCGTGTGAGCGTGTGAATGAGTGAAATGCGTGTGTCTAATGCGTGAGACTTGAGAGCTCTAACTGATGTCATAATTGTTTTCCTTGACAAAATATAAGAGATAGCTAAGATAAGATAACTTAAAATGCATGTGTGCTTAGTACCAGATTGTTATCATACCAGCAATGGGTCTTGCTCGTTCTTTCGCTTCCCGTCTGATGAAAGGACCAGGAGTGGCTGGATCAAGTTAGCTACCTAGCTAGTAGCAAGCACGTTAGTTAGCATTACAGCCTTAGCCTTATTATTTGTATTAGCCTTAAGATGAAGTAACATTAAGTAACCCAAAATGTTAAACAGTAAGAGTAGTAGTCATATTTCGTGAACCCTTTGAAGAGTACTGTTACACCGGTGTGATCATTCTATAATTTTAAGCCCGGATGCCCCCGGTGGAGAAATGCTAACGCTAACGCTACATTAGCATCGGCGATCTTTTCTACTTCATGCTATCTGCACAAATAATTGACATTGAACATTAAAAATATCAGGCCGTTCAGGGAGAATCAAAGGAAGGCAGGCAGCTTTGCATGACATTCTTCTGGACGTGTTTCATTGTGGTGATAGTGAGGGTAGACAATCCCTTTTTTGGCAAGACAGTAGTGACGGCCATCTTGGTGACGTGTGTTGTTGTGCGAGACCAGAAATGTTGTTCATTGAGCGGTTTCACACAAAAAATGTGTTACTTCACAGTTTTACGACACATTTAAAAANTTTGACTTGAAAAAATTATCTTTTAAATTGACAAACACCATATGTGTAATTCGTGGCACAATTCAAACGGGATCGAAAGATAATCTTTCTCTTGCCATTGACTTCAATACATAATTTTTCCGACACCGGAAGGGGAGGGACTTCGCCTTTCACTCGGGCTCACTTCCTGGGGTTTTGGTTCAAGCTCCAACTCTCGCGATACTTTTCTGTTTCCATGCAGAGACTACTTTCCAACATGGCAGCGTCGAGCAGCGCAGAGCAAACGCAGTTGCACGATATGGAGGAGGAAGAAGAAGGAATGGAGGAGAGAGAGATGGAATCAGACGAGGAAAACCGCATGCGAGGAGAAAATTCAGACGAGGAAGAGGACGATTCTTCGGATGATGAGAAAGAAAATGAAGCCGAGATCCAACGCTTGGAGGAGCAGGTAATTAACAACAAGATGCGTTCAGGGACAGAGGAGCTAATGCGAATGAATGGTAAACACAGTCAACTCACAAGCAGATTTAAAACTATGAGCTGCCCTGTCCTGCTTTGGCTTAATAGAAAGTAAACTGTGTCTGTTATCCAAAACAATTCAATGTTATTTATGATACGTCGTCATTCAAATAGCTGTCGTGATTAGTTAGCTTACCTGCTAATCTGTGATGCTAATGGTCACGTGTTATACGCGCCTTTTTTAACGTCTTATTTCAGTGGGGCTTTACAGTTTTCAGGAAGTGCACATCCTAAAGTAGTGGCACAAACAAAGTACATATCAACTATAACTTTACTTGGAGAGACGCGTAGAGAAATAATCTGATGTACCGATAGCAACTTTTTACAGAATTCATAATTGTGTATGTTGCAAGGATACAGTAAACTTTGTATGTCCTGTTCTTCCACTTTATCAGCAGAGAGCAGGTTTATAAAGTTACTGCAGCATTATGCATGTTAATGATGTACATGCAGCTTAAATTTGTTTTACTGCGTTAATGTAATTCTACAGATCCCCATCCATTAGGTTTTTATTATTGTTGGGAAAATACTGAATGTTCTCTTCTAATATCAGAGTAGCACATGATAACAAAGGCCCTACGTAGCTGTGTACGTAACCGGATGTATGATTACCTAGAAGAGCATCAGGACTGTTTTAGGTATATGATAGCTATGTTACAACGATTAACATGCTGATTCAGCCTCTATGGAGATAGACATATGACAAGCATGATCATTTCTGACGTGGGTTTTAGCTAATCCAAACTAAACATTGTATACTGCTTTGAACCGGTATTCTTCCATCTTGTGACTGTGTAACTCCCTCTCTATATATAAGCATGTCAAGGACACTAGTTGTACCAAATGCTCTTCTTCTTGCAAGGATAATAAATACATGTATCCGGATATTGAAGCTCAAGCTGGTGACGAGTGATATTTCCTAACAATAATATATATTGTTTTTGTAATAATTGTATTTAGGAGTCAACTTCATGTTAATTTTGGGGCTGAATTGAATAGTGCTATACTGCACCTGATAGTGCTGGGGATAATGGCAAATACAGCCTTAATGATGATGACATTTTAATTCTAAAATCATGTTAGAATTTATTACATGCATTAGTGTTAGCCAGTTATAAATAATAGACTAGCAAAATCAGTATGGTAAAGTATACATTTTCTGTGTGAAATATTTGAGATTGCTAACACAAATGCCATCATTTAATCCATAATTAAGATATGAATGTTCTCTGGCTGTGGTGCTATATCACAAAGAAGCACAAGTAAATTATGATATGTTTAATTATTCAAGGTCTTAACTTATTTATTCTTTGTTTGATTCTTCAGTTGTCTATCAACGCTTTCGACTACAACTGCCACGTGGATCTCATCAAGCTACTGAAGCAGGAGGGGGAACTTCCCCGTCTGCGAAAAGCAAGGCAGAAGATGAGTGAGCTCTTCCCACTCACTGAAGGTCGGTGCATGTCTCATGGAGTATTAATTGTCAGCCGCTCTAATCATTATTTGCAACTGAAACTAAATTTCCTTAAAACCTGCAGAGATTTGGCTGGAGTGGCTCAAGGATGAGATCCGTCTGACTGAGGAAGAGCCAAACCGGGAGAAAGTATATGAACTCTTTGAGAAAGCAGTGACAGACTATATCTGTGAGTGACCCCCACCATTGGTAACAGCCTTTGATTTGACAGTCAGTTATTTCATGATCTTATGTTTAATCCCATGTATTTATTATACCCAGGTCCAGATATCTGGCTCGAATTTGCTCAGTATTCAATTGGTGGCATGGGCTTGCCAGGTGGGATGGAGAAGGTGAGATCCATCTTTGAGAGAGCTGTGATGGCGGTGGGGCTTCACATGACGAAGGGACAGGCGGTGTGGGAGGCATACCGAGAGTTTGAGAATGTCATCCTGTCAACAGTACAGGTTTGTGTTTCCACCACTAAGATGGTCTTATTCTATATCCTTGATTGCTTTTTGAACACATACACATGCTAGAGTTTTAATTTCAATCATGTACATTTTATTTACACTCTGGCACAAACTGGACTGTTGGTAAATATGGGTTGCTATTGAAATAGACTTTACTAGCTTATATTCATGGGCACATTGTTACAGTCTGTATCAAGCATCATACTCGTTAAGCCTTGCTCAAGATGCTCAACATTTGTATTATGCATATTGATGGGGAAGGGTTTTCACCCATTTCTGTGAATTCACATAGAAACGCTCTGTCTTTTAACAACAGCGCTCTCATTTTAGTGTAGTATCCGTCAGATTTGATTTAACGCCCTGTATTTCATTATCAATCCGTATCGGTCAGTTTATTATTGTGTTGAAGCATACTGTTGAATTATAATCCTTCACTTAACTCAGAGTAAATACGAATAATTTAATTGATACAGTTTAGACTAAATAACTTCCTAAATTGTGACGCCATCTTCTCTGCCTTTTTTCCTCCAGCCTCCCCCTGGCAGGGTTCCCAGCTGCGAGGAGCAAGGGCGTCTGAATGTTCAGCTCGAGCGAATCCACACACTGTTTCGCCGCCAGCTGGCCGTCCCTTTAATGGGTAAGCATGAAGCCTGTTTTGTCCAAAAAGCTGGATTTCTGTTGTAAGGGTTGTCAAAGAGCTGAGTGAGTGGAAATGACAAAATTCCGTTGCATGATGATTTATGGCTGGCACGGTGGTGATGTGTCTTTTTGAAATGCTGTACGCATTATGAAAAAGCATGCTTAGTTGAGTCAGTTAGTTTCAGGAGTGGGCAAAGATACCAGATGGTCTAGTATTGTTTTTTATTTACTGTACCAGCCGAATAGACATCAGGGGCCGTATTCACAAAGGATTTTAGGGCTAAAAGTAGCACCTAAGTCTGGGAGAGCTTAAAAGTCCTCGAGAGGACTCCTAACTCAGTAAGACCTATTCACAAAGAATCTGAAAATGGCTGAGAGACGAAATGCTTTGGAGACAATGGAAGACTGTGAATTGATCAAGAGATATAGGCTAAATCGTGAGGGTATCAAACTTGTTGTGGAATTAGTGCAGGATGCAATAACATCCCCAACTAACAGGAATAACCCGATTAGTCCGGAAATAAAATGTTTGGCAACACTACGATATTTAGCAACAGGGAAAATGCAACTTTGCAATGCCGACGATTTAGGAATATCGCAACCATCAGTCAGCCGTGCCATAAACCAAACCATCAACGCCGGTTTCCTTTGGACAATCAACAACTACAACAGGATCAAAGCCAACTTCACGGCAATGCAGGTATGCCCGGTGTGGTCGGTGCTATTGACGGGACGCACATAAAAATAATTGCGCCATCAAAAGATGAGGACGTGTTCGTCAATAGAAAGAAAGAGTACATTCCATCAACACGCAGATTGTTTTCATTCATCATGATAGGGGGACTTGAACGGTGGTATGGGCTGTTATTGAAAGTGTTTAAGTGCTGGAAATATGCTCATTGGATAATAGTTTGCAGGGTGCTTTTAATTGCCTCCTCGATTTAATGCAATTTACGTATTTTTATTGTTTGCTCTCTCTCTTTAACGTGCATATACAACGTCATTATCGTGGTCTGCACAAACTTGTCATCATGCGTGTATTCTGCTAACTGCACTGTCCATAACTATTTGATAGGAATACATTTCTAGCCTAGGCTATTTCCTTGTTTTAGTGGGCTCGTTTGTGGGATGTTGCGGATGAGTTTCACCGAGACCGCCTACTCTGAACAACCAATCACCGTACTGACCGCTTCTAAACTCATGCACGAGAATCGACGTAATCCATAGCAACGGCGCGTCACTCTTAGTTCACTCTTAGTGATTTATGCTTAGTATGAGTAGGTCTCAGCGGCTTTGTGAATAACTTTTAAGAAAAAACTCCTACGTAAAATGTTTTAGCGCGAGTTAGGAGCACTCCTAGCGGTAAGATAAAATGCTTTGTGAATACGGCCCCTGAACATCAGCAGGAGAGGACTCTTTAAAGTAGAGACACTACATACTGATATACACCGGGGGCCGTATTCACAAAGGATCTTAGGGCTAAAAGTAGCTCCTAACTGGCGAATTTAGGAGAAACTCCTAAGCATAATGGGCGTGTCAGTCTTAAATTTGGGACTCCTAATTTTATTCACTAAGAGCAATTCACAAAGTATTTTAGGCCTAAAAGTAGCACCTAAGTCTGGGAGAGCTTAAAAGTCCTCGAGAGGACTCCTAACTCAGTAAGACCTATTCACAAAGAATCTGAAAATGGCTGAGAGACGAAATGTTTTGGAGACAATGGAAGACTGTGAATTGATCAAGAGATATAGGCTAAATCGTGAGGGTATCAAACTTGTTGTGGAATTAGTGCGGGATGCAATAACATCCCCGACTAACAGGAATAACCCGATTAGTCCGGAAATAAAATGTTTGGCAACACTACGATATTTAGCAACAGGGAAAATGCAACTTTGCAATGCCGACGATTTAGGAATATCGCAACCATCAGTCAGCCGTGCCATAAACCAAACCATCAACGCGCTCTCTAGACCACATATCATCCAACAGTTTATCCGGTTTCCTTTGGACAATCAACAACTACACAGGATCAAAGCCAACTTCATGGCAATGCAGGTATGCCCGGTGTGGTCGGTGCTATTGACGGGACGCACATAAAAATAATTGCGCCATCAAAAGATGAGGACGTGTTCGTCAATAGAAAGAAAGTACATTCCATCAACACGCAGATTGTTTTCATTCATCATGATAGGGGGACTTGAACGGCGGTATGGGCTGTTATTGAAAGTGTTTAAGTGCTGGAAATATGCTCATTGGATAATAGTTTGCGGGGTGCTTTTAATTGCCTCCTTGATTTAATGCAATTTACGTATTTTTATTGTTTGCTCTCTCTCTTTAACGTGCATATACAACGTCATTATCGTGGTCTGCACAAACTTGTCATCATGCGTGTATTCTGCTAACTGCACTGTCCATAACTATTTGATAGGAATACATTTCTAGCCTAGGCTATTTCCTTGTTTTTCGGTGATTTAGTGTCCTCGTTTTTGTGGGATGTTGCGGATGAGTTTCACCGAGACCGCCTACTCTGAACAACCAATCACCGTACTGACCGCTTCTAAACTCATGCACGAGAATCGACGTAATCCATAGCAACGGCGCGTCACTCTTAGTTCACTCTTAGTGATTTATCCTTAGTATGAGTAGGTCTCAGCGGCTTTGTGAATAACTTTTAAGAAAAAACTCCTATGTAAAATGTTTTAGCGCGAGTTAGGAGCACTCCTAGCGGTAAGATAAAATGCTTTGTGAATACGGCCCCAGATGCATTTCCTGTAATATATTAAACCCTTTCTTGTCTGAACATCTCATATTTCTCCCTGCCGTTATGTGGTCTTATGTAAGCAATTGCAAATTGACACGTTCCCGCTGCACACTAAAGGTTACACGTCTCAATGTCACCCTTTTACAATCAGCTAATTCTGTATGTAGTGTATGTATCATTGTTGTTAATGTTAAAAAGTGTCTATAAATGTTGGCAAAAATTGTTGCTTTGCAGACATGGAAGCCACCTTTGCCGAGTACGAGGAGTGGTCTGAACAGGAGGTGGCTGAGACGGTCATGATTCAGTACAGAAAGGCTTTGCAGCAGTTGGCCAAGTGCAAACCCTTGGAAGAAGCACTGGTAACTGACTTGAATTGAACATTTTGACCCTTACACTTCTCCTCCTTTTTAAGGGTTTGAATATTGTGATGCAATGCCTAACGTCTGTTGTCTTTTCCCAGATATTAGCAGAACCTCCTAAGATGGCGGAGTATCAGGCCTTCCTCGACTTTGAACTAAAGGAGGGCGACCCGGCACGGATCCAGATCATCTATGAGCGGGCCCTGGCTGAGAACTGCCTGGTACCGGACATGTGGACCAAATACACAACCTATCTGGTGAGTATTGGTTCCCAGTCCAACTGTATTGCTTACTGTGTAGAGTTTGGACTTGTTCATATAGCATTACCTCCCAGGCCTACTCTTAATGAACTACACAGTGATTTCTCTAACAGCTCTTCTTGGACTAGATTCATGGGTCATTTTTGTTATGTCTTTTCTCCTTTAAACACTATAATTGGACAAAACCCAGTGAAACATCAGGCTGATAATAATTTGAATCATCTTTCTTAACCTCTTGAGCCCGATTGCACCCGGTACCGGGGTCAGACGCAGCATCTATGCAAGATACACAATCCCAGGACTTGTTAACATTTAACAACCTATTAATGTGGCATACCCACTTAACGGGAAGAAACTCAGCTAACAGCCGATAATAACCATTATTGCCTAAACGGAAATTAAATTCCAACACCAAGCGTCTAAATCAGCAGTTAACGAAAACGTGCTAACGGTGCATGCGCACATAAGTGGTGATAGCGATTTTTCTACTTCGTGCTATCTGCACAAATGACATGTCATATGAAGGCTTAGATTCCACAGAGTCCATTGGTATAAGTCTCATCCCTGTAAAACTCACTGAACTAGCAGCCAGGAAAGAGCAACAAACAACTTCACTTTACAGAGCCATAACTGTCTAACCATAATGTGTCTTACCTTTGCTGTTTTGTGATCAAAAGCTGTGTTCAAGGGCATAAAAACGTTGCTGAAGGTTAATCCAATGTCTCTGCGTCACTTTGAAATGATTACTGAGACGGGGTATAATGTTGAGCAGGCTGGGGCGTCTGCTTTGTAGCATGCTGTGTTTGTGAATTTTAACTGACAAATGGAAATGTTTACATGGATTTATGAACTGCCCCTCGATTCTATTGGCTCTAACGGTTACAACGAGGTGTCAATCACCGAATTTGACCAATGGGTTCCAGAGATAGGTCCCCGCTTAAAGTATAAGGTCTGACTACAGCTCGCTCCTCATAACGCAGCGGAACGCACAGCAGATTACAAGAACAGTGATTTCTTTGCATTTAGGAATTAAGGAAAAAGGGTTATACCGCGGAGAAGGTACTGACCATTCTGGCTGCTGATAGCGGGGAAGGTGTTTTACCTGTTGACTCTGCGTCGGATGATGAGGACCTCCAGCAGCCAGGGATGGACCCGGACAGTAGTGACTCAGATTATGAACTTTCATCAACGGAAAGGTATGTAATCTCTCTTTTTTATTGATTACTTATTTATTTGGTGTAATATTATTCATCTATCCTTATTATTCTGCAATGAATTTAGTAAATTCACACACTCAACCTGGATGGTGTGTTGGTTTCCCCTTACAGGGCTTATTTACCTCAACATCCATATAGTGTTAACTGTCTGTCTGAATTTTCAAAAGTATAAGCCAGTGGATTAATCAATTTGTTTTTTTTTCACAGTGATGAAGATTATGTGCCTAAAATGGCTGCTTCCAGTAAGATACGGCCATCAACACGTACCCCTCAGCCCCGGCTACGCCACTCCACTCGACGGGCTTCTGCTCCCCCTCCTCAGCCATCACCTTCCTCATCTGTTTCCAAATCACCCAAAGTGACGCAGAACAAAAGAAAAACCAAAGCATCATGTAAATCAGCAAAACCCAGGACGCGTGGCCTAGGTGAGTCTTCCTCTCCTGGAATGACTGAGGAAGAACTCGGGTGGCACAACGGAGAGGAGAAAGACCAAAGACCAGAGCCACTGAGGTTCATGCCAGCCAGGGTCCCAGGCCCAACATTTGACACCACCTCAGCGTGGCCTCCCTTTTCCCTTTTCAGACTTTTTTTTAGTGCTTCCGTGGTTCATACTCTCATTGAAAACACAAATGCAAACGCCCTGAAGAGATTCCAGGCTGGAAATAAGTATGTTTGGAAAGTGCTGACTGAGAGGGATTTTTATATTTTCTTGACCATTGTCATTTTCACAGGCCTCGTCCACGTTCCCCACAGATCAGACTACTGGTCGAAGAAAAGTCCATATGACTTCCCATTCCCAGCTGACAAAATGTCACGGGAACGCTTTGAAGCCATCTTGTGGTCGCTGCACATGAGCAACCCTGAAGAAGACGAGGAAAACGAGCGCAAAAAGAACACAGAAGAGTACGACAGACTTTTCAAGATCAAGCCCCTGTACACCGACATCATCACTGCATGCAAAACACATTTCCAGCCCTATCAAAACATTTCTATAGATGAGAGGATGGTGGCATCCAAGGCCCGCCTCAGCACGAAACACTACAAGCCCAGAAGGTGGGGGTACAAACTGTGTGTGCTGTTGGATTCCTCAACGGCATACACCTGGAATTTCATTGTGCAAACGGGGAAGAGTAAGCTCACCACAGGCCAGGGACTCGGCTACTCCTCCGTGATGGACCTCCTGCCATTGCCTCTGCTCGGTGGGGGCTACGCACTCTTTGTGGAAAACTTTTACACCAGCCCTGCCCTCTTTGAGGATTTGTCCACACAAAACATTGGCTGTTGTGGGACCATTAGAACAAATCAAATTGGTTTTCCACAGAATGAGTCGAATGACCTACCGAAAAAGGCTGAAAGGGGAGATTTGCGGTGGATAAGGAAAGGCAAAGTCCTGTTCGTGAAGTGGATGGACAGATGTGAAGTGTCCATGTGCTCCACAGTGCACGAAGCCTTCAGTGGACAGACTGTCAGGCGGAAAGTGAAAGAGGCTGGTGTGTCGCAGGCTAAGACTGTTTGCATTCCTGACGCTGTAGTGGACCACAATCAAAACATGGGCGTCAGGGATGTGTCCGACGCTTTGATTGCGCACTACAACGTTCACAACAAAAACATGAAATGGTACAAGGCTTTTTTTTACCGTTTTATGGACATTTCATTGATGAACAGCTTCGTCCTCCACAAGGAGCTGTACAAGATGAGGAATTACCCCAGCAGCATCAAGCCACACACCCAGAAGTCTTTCAGGGAGCAGCTTGCTGCAGAAATGTTGGAGTTTGCTGAAGGCTCTGCAGCACCACCATCCCCCCCACCACTCAAATGCATGCCCATGTATTATGGGGAGGATGGGACCCAATCGAGGAAGTACTGCAGGAAGTGCCATGATTCTGGCATCTTCAGGGTGAAGACACCTGTGTTCTGCATTAAGTGCCAGGTCCCTCTGTGCTTGACTTCAAAAAGAAACTGTTACCAGGAGTGGCACGACCAACTATTCTAACATTCAGGATGCATAAAGTTTTTGCAGTGTGTTGTTTTTTTACAAAAAAAGTGATTAGATTTTTTTTCTTTGCCACTTTATTTTAGAATGTTGTTTTTTTTGTATATTCTGTATATTGTGTATAAATACATCTGCTCCAGTTGGAGTCAAACTTCATTTCCTGTGTATGTTTTTTTTGTTGAATGGGGGAAATGGTATAGAGGTCTGGGTGCATTTTCAAAAACAGTTGTATTTGGATAGAATGAATACCTATAGTGATATATTAATACAATTTAGTTTTACAGTCTGGTACCTGAGAAAGGTCAAATGGCACCGTTTGGTGAGTAGGCCTGGACCTACCTGTGCTAAACCTCTCTAAGAAATGTAAAGTTTCACTTTAATTAGCACCTATCCTGAGTCTGATCCCTAAAGTATCTGGGCTACTCTTCCATTATTCAAGGATGGTTTTCCCTATAAATAATGTGGTTTTCTTAGGTGGAGTTTTTATTTTTTTATTACTAGGTTCAGTCTGAATTTACTCTGAAACTGCAACATCTTCAGTGTTTCTCCTACCATTGTCTTGGAGGGGGGACGTCCCCCTGAAATTCAAGGTGTTTAAAAATAAAAATTAAAAAAACGTCCTCAGTGCTCTTTTATTAAATTAAACGCTTTCATTTTAAGTTGTGAGTTTAGTGTTTTTGACCCTAAGATGCATTAATCAATAACAATAATCCTCAGCTCCTTTCTGTGCTCCATTAGAAGCTGCTGGGACTCCCAGCAGCTTCTAATGGAGCCTTCTGAGTAAATCGCCAGAACGCCGACACCTCCTCATCTCCACCGCTCCCATGTTTTCTTTTGTGTTGCCATAAATTAGTCTCTCTGCGTTTGTGCGCTGGGCTAATGCTAATACGAGGATAATAAAATGGAGGCTTCACAAAACTTTTTCGGAGTTTTACGGGGCGTGGTTTGCATTCCGCCCAGCCAATCAGAAATAGGAACCCTTTTCTCCCACGAAAGTCCCTGCTCTCTAGCAGGGACGGAAAGGGAGGTGGAAAGGTTCTCATGAACTAATTTTAGTTCCGGAATTTTTTGGTTTGAACGCTACATTTCGGAACTAAAGTGGGAAAAGTACTGTGGTGTGAAAACGCCAACTGCTTTGATAACAAGATTATTCATACTTTTAGTTGTGAAGATATACTCATTAATTCTGGGAAGAAATGTGGTTACGAATAAAGTCAACTCTTTAAATCTTTAAAATAAAATCTCTAGCTTGTATTCGATTATTTTAACCATTTAGTTATTTGTTCCCTCAGGACCGTCAGCTGAAGTTTAAAGACCTGGTTCTCTCCTCACATGAGCGAGCGGTGAGGAACTGCCCGTGGACGATGGGTCTGTGGAAGAGCTACCTCCTGGCTCTGGAGCGGTATGACGCTGACCACGCCACCGTCTCAGGTAAACACTTTCTGCCTCGCTGTTTTCATGCTGCTGTGTTTCATATGTGACCAAAATCCCAGAGCTTTGTTCCTGTAACGCTGAACCTGCTGCCCATGTCTTTATCTTCCACACAGATGTTTTTGAAAAGGCGCTGATTGCAGGTTTTATTCAAGCGACGGATTATGTGGAAATTTGGCAGGCATTCCTCGACTACCTGAGGAGACGTGTTGATTTCAGCAAAGGTGAGAGCGGTACTGAATGTGTCTTTGTTCTTGGAAACTATTGACTTTCCTTCTTGTTTCCTTGCTAACGGTGTTACTTGTGATTTTTGCAGAATCAAGTAAAGAGTTGGAGGAGCTGCGAGGGTCTTTCGCCCGGTCTCTGGAATACATGAAGCAAGATGTTGAAGAAAGTACGTGGATTTCCGCCGGACTGAGGTTTACTTCTGGTGTTTTAGTTTTGCCTTTCAAATCATTCATTGTCTTGTTTCCCTGTAGGATTTGGTGAAAGTGGAGATGCTTCTTGTATCATAATGCAGATCTGGGCAAGGATCGAGGTAAGAAGTGTTACTATGACAACCATTTACTATAGTTACAATGAGCCTGTCTAATTTTTAATCCCGGTAATAGCTCAAGTGTCTAAAGCTACTATGATGTGCTTAATTTACCATAAAATCAGATTTTAAACAGCAACTTACTTTTTAAAAACGCCACAGTATTATTCACACAAGGTCATGTTTGTGTATTTTGAGATATACAACCTCACCGTCACGTGTAATATGGAAACTATCTGCACAAATGAACACCTCTTAATGTTTTCTTCTCCTCACCAGGCCCTCCACTGCAAAAACATCCAAAAGGCCAGAGAGCTGTGGGACAGCATCTTGTCAAAAGGGAATGCAAAATATGCCAACATGTGGCTGGAGTACTATAACCTTGAAAGGTATGTAAAACAAGTCAAACATGACAAACAGGAAATGAAGTGCTGATGCGTTTTGAGCCACAACTTGTATTTGGTGTCCCTTATGTTATTTTTTATTCATTTCTTCCCTTCTTTATCCTTAGGTCTTATGGAGACAACGCTCACTGTCGGAAGGCTCTCCACAGAGCAGTTCAATGCACCTCAGATTACCCTGAGCACGTCTGTGAAGTCCTGCTCACATTCGAGAGGGTGGAAGGTGAGTCCAGATATAAAAATCCAACTCAACATTAAAACCAAGACGTTTCTCATAGATTACAGCATGTCTGTGTTTCGCGACCTCATCTACAGGTTCTCTGGAGGACTGGGACGTGGCGGTGCTGAAGACCGAGACCCGGCTGAACCGAGTCAATGAGCAACGAGCGAAGGTAAGAGCACCTATCAGCTCTGCACATACCAGGTGAAATGTTGAGCTGCCGTTTAGCTAATGTAACCTTGTTCTGCACTCCTGTTAGGCTGCTGTGAAGGAAGCTAACCACGCCCGCCAAGAGGAGGACCGAGGGGATCAGCGGCAGAAGAACAAAGCAGACAAGAAGGGTCAGAAGAAGGGTCAGAAGGGACCAGGAGCTGTGTTGAAGAGGAAAGCAACGCAGGATGATCACCATAACGATTGGAACAATGACTCGGGTAAATAATCTTATAAAGTAAATCAAATGATCTTGAAAACGTTGTGTTTTATCGTAAACTATGCTTAAAAATAATCATAGTGTAGTGACTTGAAATGTGTGAAATATTTATGTATTTTGTTCAAGCGGGAGAGAAATCATGCTAGTTCACATTTAAAAGAAATTCAGTGTAATTACCCTGATCTTTGTCGAGCCGTGTTCTGTGAGGGAATTGGGATGGGATCATCTTTGAAAAAAACACTTCAATTCAATGTTTAGGAATATAAAGGAACTCTTGGTTTATTATTAATTGTTCTTTCCCTTTGTGACGGAACTAGCTCCTAAAAGACGTAGAGGAACTAGGGACGGCGCCACAGAGGAGAACATGGAGACTGAGGCGGGGAGGAACCCCCCACCCGGCTATAAGCCCGGCAACAAAAGAGCCCAGCAGGGGTCCGCCGCCCAGAGTCAGAACGATGAGAAGCCAGAGCTGCGTAACGATGACTGCAGTGTCTTCATCAGCAACCTGGCGTACACCCTGGAGGAGCCAGAAGCCAAGCTCCGGGCGCAGTTTGAGAGCTGCGGTCCCATCGCACAGGTTCGCCCCGTCTTCGCCACCAAAGGCACCTTCAAAGGCTACGGCTATGTGCAGTTTGAATCCGCAGTGTCTGTCGCTGAAGCCCTGAAGCTGGACCGACGGGAAGTGGAGGGCAGGCCCATGTTTGTGTCTCCCTGTGTGGACAAAAAAGAGAATCCCGACTTTAAGGTAAATGTGAACATGTTTCAAAATGTAGACATGTCTGGTTTTTTTCTGCAGGTCTTGAAAGTCTAAACTTCTGAAGAAAAATATATATCTTAAATGTATTTCTGTGGTATCAGTAAACCCTGTAGAAACCCTTATAATGAGCCGTACAAGTAACCACAATAATGTCCCCGTAGATCTTTAAATACAACACGACCATGGAGAGGCAAAAACTCTTCATCTCCGGGCTGCCGTTCTCGTGCACTAAAGAGCAACTGGAGGAAATCTGCAAAAGTCACGGCACCGTCAAAGACCTTCGCCTGGTCACGTATCGCTCTGGAAAACCCAAGGTGAGACAGAACAGTGTCCTGACCTTTAATATAGTCCTCCTGGTTTAGCTAATGATTAGCCCCTCTGACCACACGATGCTGAACAGAGTCATGGGGCAGAGGCAGCTGCTGTCGGTGTATTAACAGTCTCTCGCTGTGTGTCTCTGCAGGGTCTGGCGTATGTTGAGTTTGCCGACGACACCCAGGCGTCTCAGGCCGTTCTGAAAATGGACGGCATGGACATCGGGGAAAACAAAATCTGTGTTGCGATAAGTAACCCCCCGCGGAGAAATATGATGGATAAACCCGGTTTCGACAGAACGGACTTAATGCCTCGGCAGGTCTTTGGAGGGTAAGCGAACGGATATTTTCTGAAAGTCTTGCCTCTATATTATCCGTACCTGTACTAACTAGGTTTTGTATGTTTCCAAAGGAGAGGCAGAGGGCGCACGCAGCTGTCGTTGATCCCTCGATCCCTGCACCGGCAGAGTGAGCCTGTGAGCAAAGTAAAGAACGGAACCGTAGATGCGGAGGCGTCGGGAGAAAGCAGCGCAGCCGGAGAGACGAAACCTTTGTCAAACTCAGACTTTGCCAGGATGCTTCTCAGCAAGTGAGAGGAAGAGGAAGAGGAGGAGGAGAGAAATATGACTGCCTTCGGACCGAAAGCCATCTTGTGTCCTTACAAATACGTCTTTGAGAGTTTTCTGTATTTGGTTAGCTGGCTTCCCTTTAACCTCAGTCCTGTCAGGTGGCCAACCTCCTGCCCTCCGTCGGAAAGACTTCACCAGTGTGACAGATTGTTTTCATTTTTGCTTGTTTGAAGCTAGATGGCTGGGTATTTTATAAAAAGAAAGTGTATAATATTTGTGTGTAAATATATTGTATCTAAAATGATACGCCTCGTGTTGCAAAGTGTCTTCTTTTGTTGTGAATTGTGAAACAAAATAAGAGAAGCAAACAGCGGAGTATCTTTTTTAAATAGTCGTAACAGATAAACTAGTTAATGTTGTTTTAAAAAAGTGAGATGCAAAAGTTCAGCTGTGGTGTGTGTGGGTGTGAGTGTGTGTGTGTGTGTGTGTGTGGTGTGTGTGTGGTGTGTGTACAGAAGATGGATGTACTACAATAATGAAAAGATATTCTCCAGATGTTTTCAGGAAACTTCTTTTTCTCTGAAGACAAAGTTAACAAGGCTAGCAATTACTTTGTATGACTATAGTACAGCTTATTTTCATAATACCATCTGTGAGTTACCATCTGCTATTAACCATCAGTATTATGATGCTATAGAGTTTACAGGGTCATTACAATACTAGTTATTTGGCTTTAAATCAGCCTGAGGGCATATTAGAATAAACTTCCCTGTCATCACGTCAAACCATTGACTGGACTGCTCTAAGTACACGTTCTCTGCTTTTATACATCACTGTTAATATCACCTGTCTGTTCAGGGTGAAAACCTCCATCATCAAATCACCTATATTGTGTTGGAAACTACCCATAATACCCTCACCTTGCGACACTCGCATGTGAGCGATAGATAAGAAACATTTCTACGTGGCTCTTTCGATGGCTGCAGTCTTTATTTGCAAAGATGAGTGGATCTACATATATTGTATTTTAAAAATGGATTGTTTCAAGTAAAATGTAGATTTGTAGTTTATTTTCAGTATCTCAGCTGTTCAAATTGTTATTTTTCTTACATTTAGGTAAATAAACTGTATCTTGACGTTCGACTATTGACAGGAATATGACTTCATCTTAGGCTCTAGATAACTGATGGCCATTTTATATTTTTTTCAAGCTGACAAAATAATTAATCGACTATTTAATAAAAAATATGTTACCTGAAATGGTTTATAATTTAAGAAACATTCATTCATTTTGGGTGTTAGGAGATGACCATACATGCTAGAAAGTATATGTGCAACTAAAACCTAAGTTCAGTTTTATTAATGTGACGTGGTTTACTTTGTAATCATTGAAGTCTTCATCACACTTCAGGTCTGCGGCTCCTTCAAAATGAAAGGAGAACCTATGCAGTTTTTCCTCTTCTGTCTTCTGAGGTTATGAGCCGACCATTACTCAAGTTTGTTTTCATAATGTTCTGTATGATCATTTAAAAAAAGGTTAACCAGTTTGTTTATAAAGTATAAATACATTTTCAAAACAAATGGAATACAAGCTATATGTATTGCTCTCACCACAGTGGCCTAATCTAAAAAATAGAAATACGTCTCGTCACCTATTTTCTGTCTAATACTAAAAGGTTCATCTGTGTTTTGTATAATTTATGTAGTAAATGTTTGGAAGTTGCTATAAAGGCTAAGAATAGATGGTGTTTCTGTGTTCAAAGTATTTAATTACCATTTTACCCCTTGTGTTTTTGGGTCCTGTTTAAAAAAGGAAAATAATCATGTTTTAAAACTGGTTTTTAATAAAGTCATGTCAATCATCTTTGATGCCAGTGTGACAGCCACAGCTTTGTTCAGTCTAAAACAATTCATAACCTAAAGACATGATACAAGTGAATAGAACACGTTTATTTTAAAATAAATAAATCAGAAACACAAGTGCTTACAGTGTTATGACACTTCATATTTCCTATCCGAGAGATAGATCAATAACAAATGTTCACACCCACTCTACACATTTGCTCTTAAAGCATACCAAGTCAGATGTCATGATAAGAAAACGTTTCTTTCGTCTGGTCAAATGTAGATTGTATTTTAAAGATCTCTGAAATTCATTAACACTAAGGGAATATGGTTACTAGCAAAAAGTGGGGAAAAGGTTTATTTTCAATGACAAAACAAACCGTAACAGCACATTTTCAATTCAACACCCTGTGGAGGAATTCATTACCTTAAAACCTAAACTTGATTATAGAGGATAAGGTAGAATATGGCCATAAGGCAATTGAACACATGGTAGGGTTGTAATTAAAGAGCTTTTAGACTCCCCTTCCCTGTGTATCTAGTTGTGAATGGGAATGGTCTGTTGGCAGTCGGGACAGGCCTGGTCCTCGCTGGCCCCCGGCAGCCCCACAGCATGCTCCGTTGTAGAAATCAACAATGTGTCCAATGTCATCTCTGTACATTTGGCTATAAAGCGAATGAAGGGTCGTACATCTCCCTCATTAGCTGTGTCTAGAGCTGCGTAATACTCTGCCCTTTGTTCTTTGCGGATAGTGACTGGTGGGTATCGCGCTTGCATGAGCACGAGGTTCATGAGCAGTCGTGACGTGCGTCCGTTACCGTCGACAAATGGGTGCACATAGACCAGTTTGTAGTGGGCGAGAGCTGCGTACTCCACAGGGTGCATCTGCAGGGCGTCCTCGGAGTTGAGCCACTGAACCAGCTCCTGCATGTGTCTCTGCAGGTCCCGAGGGTGGGGGGGGATGTGATGGCCCACAAATACCTGGTTGGTGCGCAGCCTCCCTCCCTCCACAGGGTCCACGTAGCCCAGCACCCGGCGGTGGATCCCCAGGATGTCACTGACGTCCATGGTTCCTGCTCTGGACAGCAGCGAGGTGTTGATGTACTTCATGGCTGCGTCCACCCCGATGGCCTCGTTCTGCTCCTGTAAGCTCTTCCCAGCGACGGCGTAACGCGTCTCGAGGATGTGACGGATCTCAGACAGAGTGAGCGTGCTGCCTTCAATGGCCACCGTGTGGTAAATGTGGTGGTAGTAGGTCTCCTCCATCACCCTGCGGAGGGCAGAGTTGCCTTTAGGAATGGACATAAGCCGGCGCACTTTACTGTCAATGATGCCAAAGTAACGCTGGTCGATCTCTTCCACCAGGGGAGAAGTCCGGTCCCGGCTCACTAAAGCTCTCTCATTACACGGGGAGATGGCCAAGGCCTTGGTGTAGAGATGGTCTGCCTGGACCACGTCCTTCTCCTCTTCCAGGATGGTCCCCAGCTCCGTCAGGGCATCCACAAAGTCTGGATTCATGCCGAGTGCATGCACCAGCAGTTTATGAGCCTTCTCGCGCTTCCCAAGTTTTCTCATCTCCAGAGCCAGCTGCAGCGCCGCCTTGGCCTCAAGCTTCATTTCTGCAAACACAACATTACAGACGGTCAACTCCAGCAAATGTGAAACAGTTGGAGATAATAATACAGTCTATTCATCAGAGGTGGAAGAAGTACTCAGATCCTGTACTTAATAAAAATATAAGTAACAGAAAGTAGGAATACTCCCGTTTTAAAAAATGTTACTAAAGTAAAAGTACAAAAGTATTAGCACCAAAGTAAACTCACCAAGTACCAAAAGTAAAAGTACTCATTATGCAGATTGGCCCCTTTCAGAATCATATATATATTATATGTGTAGGTTATAATTATTGATATATGTATCAAGCTGGTAAAGGTGGAGCTAATTTCAAATAATTGGGAATTGAATCCAGGTGTATCTATACAGTCTTTTTTAAGCGTTGATTCTATTGTTTATCATTAATCTATATCTGCAAAGTAACTAAAAGGTACTACATAAATGTATTGGAGTAAAAGTAAAATATTTACCGCTGAAATGTAGAGGAGTAGAAGTACAAAGTATCATAACATGGAAATACTCAAGTAAAGTACCTCAACGTTGTACTTACAAAAGTACAGTACTTAAGTAAATGTACGTAGTTACTTTACACCACAGATATACATTAAGTTAATAAATACACCTGTTCTTGTTCGTACCATTGCTCGGCTTGGACCTGAGTGGCAGCACGTCCAGGGCCGTGAAGGGGACCGTGAGGCTGGTGGTCTGCACCGCTGCAGGCCGCTGAGAGCCGCCCCCCATCCGGCAGCGGAGCAGAGAGAGGCCCCTCAGCGCGGAACAGCACTGATCCTCCTTCCGCACCAGGGGCATCAGGACCACCACCAGAGACCCGAGGAGCACACACAGCAGCGGGCACCATCCTCCAAGGAGCCGCCCGCCGGTGTAACGACACACCGTCACAGCAGCCATGATGGTCCCCGGTTAAACCTTCCATCCTCCAGTGATACGGTTCCCCATGAAGATCAACCCCGGCTAGGAGAGCAGAAAACAGACTGACAGGAGGTAAAAGCGGTCCCCATGACAGCTGGAAACTACCGACACTACAGAGGATATACCAAACTGTTACCAAACTTTTAAAGCTTGAAAGTAAGGTATCGTTAGTTAAGTTAACTTAGCTCTCTGTCGCTACTATTTAACTCGAAGCTGAAACTAAAAACAACGACTTTATTCACGAATAAACGGCCATTAACCTATTGTCAGCGTCAGTACAGTTTGTACGTTGTGTTCACAAAATACCAATAATACACATCATCGACTTCCTGGTTCGCTCCGAACATGTTAACATCCCGCAATATCATTGGCCAGAAGTTTATTGAAGGACGGTGCTGATTGGCTGAAAACGCAGCACACCAAACGGTTCGTAACAGATTCTGATTGGTTACATTTTTTTCCGGCCACGCAGTGTGCAAGAGCAGCAAATTAAAAGCATGCAAAAACATTCCTCCTTTTGAAAAGGTAAAACAGGAATAGTCAAGATAGATATTTATTGTGTTTCACGTTTGCAATTCAATTATGAAACTTCTATTTAAACGTTTTTTATGTTAATTCGCCTACCGTATTTATTTCTGTTTGTATACAATTATTAATTAGTAATATATAGGCCTACACCTAACGAGTTGACTTGTTGAACATTCAGATTTATTTTTTGAAGTGTGTTTCTTTCCTCAATAGTTTCCTTGTCATTTGACCAAGTAACTCACTAAAACATATTTTGTTTTCTATTTTCTATCAATATATATATTTTTCAATATGTAAGCTTATTGTGATGGAAACTTCTGAAGCAACGGAGACAGGACTCAGAGAGACACGAGTTGAGCAGGAACACTAATGGTTTATTTGGAACTTCGGCCGGAGAATTCACAAGACATCCGCTGTGCCACGAGTTGCCAAACACATTCTGAAGATCTCTACCCCAGACCCATGTATTTAGCTGGTTCTGAGAGAAGAATCAACATTGTGCATAACAAGATAAAACCATAACACTTCCATCAGCTGACGCCAACAGGCAGGAACAGGGAGACAAAACACTGAGAGCACAGCACCCAAGGTTACAGGTGCCTGTGCTCAGTCAGGACAGAATTGATAAACTGGGTCAAAGTTATGGGCCTTGGAAAATATTCCCCAACAGATATAATAAGTATTTTTTTCTCCTTTTATATGATTATTTAATTAGAATTAAGCTTTTTTTTCTATAGAAAGGTTTTGTTTTTGAAATATCTTCCAATTCATTGGGCCAAGGGACTCCAAATCCATGCATCATTCTTATAACATGTTGAAGGAGTCTATTTTATATGAATATTTTACAAAACAAGTACATGCAAATAACAAAAATGTAAATGTATATGTACAAATAGTACATATAAATACAGATAGAGTTTATGATGACTACAGAATAGGTGGCCCCATGTTGGTTGGTCGAATAGTAGGCACAATTAATTTGGCACATCTATAGCTCTTCTGACGTGTGTACTTTAACCCCCCAATTTTTTTTTCTTCTGATTATGCCTTTCCAACCACAAAACCCCCCAATGTATCACTTATGCTCTGCATTTCCTTTGAATGTAAATGTACTAACAAACAGAAGAGGGCAGCATTGCTCTGTTATACAAACATCAGTCTGAGCATATCCTATTGAGACTGCACTAGCGCTCTAAGATTTCTTCTTATGCTTTCCAATTTGTTAATGCAATGAAACTGAATCTATATTTTGAACGATTAATATCTTCCCCCTCAGCCTCAACTTGTCTATTAGCATACTATAACCTTTAAACTCTATTTATAGTTGTCCTTCATGCCATCAGTATTCAGTTTGTTATGTTAAATGTTTTTTATTAGAAGCTTTTATACTTTTATGCTTCATCTATTTATAGTGAAGTTGCCTTTGGGGACTCTTCCACCAACTGGAACAGCCCGTGCTGAGGAGGATTGATTCCTGGCTATGTGCCAACGCCAACACTTTAAGATGTATCTTCAGCAGATGGCAAACTATCTCCTCTAAATAGCTGATATTCTCACAGCCTGCTCTCTGTAGCAACATGATGCTGCCACACAGAGAGTTATGAATGAACAACCATATAGATGATTTTATGTTGAGTTAGAGATTTAGAGGGTCCGTCTGAAATCGGGGGGTTTGAATGTGTCAAGTCATGTTGCACACTGTAGTCACAGTGAGCTGTGGAGCCGCACACTAGTCCCTCTGTGCTGCTTTGACCCACAGCACGCTCACATTATACATATATATGGAGCAGCCATGCTTGAGATGTGTTATTTATTTACTGTTATTCATGTGCCCTATCGCACACCTCTCATATCAATAGTTAGTTGCCATGATGAGTATGTTACAGAAAGGAAAAAAGAGACCTCTGGGGAATATGCCATCAACATGCTGGCAATGATTAACTGTA